CTATTGTTCCTAATTTACATTAATGATATTGACACCAATACATATAGTAAACTGGTTAAATTTGCAGACGACACCAAGGTGGGTGGTGTAGCAGATACTGATCTAGCAGCACTGAGGCTACAAGAGGATCTTGATTCAATTAGCAACTGGGCTGGTACCTGGCAGATGAAATTTAACATAGATAAATGTAAGGTAATCCATGTAGAGCATAAATAAAAATATAGCATAAATATAAAGTACAGACATTTTAAGAGTTCCACTGAAATAAAGGTAGCTGATTATGAGAAAGACCTCGGTGTGTATGTTGATGCTTCCGTGTCACACTCTCGCCAGTGTGGGGAAGCAATAAAAAGGCCAATAGGATTTTACATCTCTAGGTGTGTGGAGTTTAAGTCAATGGATGTGATGCTACAATTACTGTATATAATTCCTTGGTAATCCCCACCTAGAATATTGTGTGCAGGTTTGGTCACCATACCTTAAGAAGGACATTGCTGCCTTGGAAAGGGTTCAATGGAGGGCTAAAAGAATGATTCCTGGTCTTAGAGGAATGTCTTATGAGGAGAAGTTAGCTGAGCTGAATCTGTTTAGCCTTCGAGCAAAGGAGATTAAGGGGGGATATGATCCAGGTATATAAGATTCTAACAGGTCTGGATGCTGTTCAGCTAAATGGCTATTTCAGTATTAGTTTAAATACTAGAACTCAGTAGAAATTAGCGAGAGAACATTTTGAAATGAATTTGAGGAAGCGCTTCTTTACACTTTTCCAATATCGTGAACAGCTGTAACTACATTTCTGCGGAGGTGTCAGGCTACGGCATAGATTCTGTGCAGAAGTATGAATCAGCCTTTACACAGCACAGGATTGTAGTGTGTGCCTACAGCTTCTTTTTGAGCACAAGGGAGGGAACTTCCACCCCACAGAATACGTATTGTTCATTCAGTAATGTAGGCTCGCTTGCTAGCGGTAAGCAAGATTGACTGACTGAAAACAATGGAAGAAAAGAACGCTCAGTTATTGCTTGTTAAAATGCACCTGAAATCAATAACAAAAATGCACATATTAACTCTTATGTAAATATTTTTGATAGGAGTTGAGGAGAGAGAGGCTAGGTGTACAGTGTAGTGTAGGCTAACTTGATAATGATAAACAGTTGATGGAAAACAATGGAAATAAGAAAAATATTCTCAGTTGTTTCTTGTTAAAAAAACACCACAAACCTATAACAACAACAACAAAAAAAAATAAATACAAATAGCTGTACATGTGCATGTTGTGCATATTTTCAATAGCAGTTGAGGGCTGGGGGTGGGAGTGTCATCAGCTGGATGCCTAGGTTGGACTTGTGAACTTTTGGACTTGTGAACCTGCTCTCAGAGCAGAACTGGCTCATACCATAGGGATTTACTGTAATGGTGGTAATCACTGAATCTTGGGTGTCACTTCACTACTGATGTCACTGCAAAGCAGTTTAGTTTTATGAACTGTAGCCTTTTTATTGCCACATCTGTAATAGCAGCATTAAATGCAGTGACAGCATTTACTTATTTTTTGCAGATGCAAAATTCCTGCAACATGTCACAAATTTCTCCAGCCTCCACTGGTTATGTTTGTGTGTAAATCCTTAATTCTAACTAAGGTAACTTACCTACAAACTATAAAAGCTAATAAATTGCTACTGCTCACTTAGACAGACCAGGGCCTGTGTTCAGGTAATAAACACCAAAATGATTTAGTGAGGTAATGCACTTGTAGTCCAATCATAGTGATCAGTCCTGTTTAACCTCCCTAAACAAAATGGTACATATGTTAGGTTGTAATATTTGTCAATGGTTAATAAATTCAGGTATTAACCATAACACAGTTGTATACCAGAACATACATAAAGCTAAATAAAACAATGGCTGAATGAATATATATTTTGCCTCCGCAGCCGAATGCATATAATGCGCAGCTTGGAATGTATTTACCTGCTTGTACCACAGTTACTATTCATGTGGCCTGAATAGTATAGACTAACCTTTGGGTTTAACAGCAGGCAATTTCAAACTAAGGACTGGCTTATGGTTTTAGAAACTGACTATTTTCAAATAAAAGATGGTCACTTGGGTTGTACATAGACAACATAATTAATAGTAGATGGCTCTGACAATATCTAATTCCTACCATCGGGACATTACGGTATGGTACATGGTATTTTGATTGTATTTAAAAAGTAACATTATTACATCCCCCAAGATACAGTTTTGATGAAAGGAAATACTGCGGTATGCTGTGCTGTCATTATACCACAAAGCCTAACTAGTCGTTCTGCCAATAAATGTGTTTTCAGGTTCACAAACATGAAAATAATGTCTTCAAATGCAAACATGTAAATAGAGTTGTCATGCATTAACCTTATAGTTGACTTAAAATGTGCATGAAGGACTCAATAAGTAGAACTGTGATTCAAATGTCTTATTGATTTCCCAGTTCTTGAAAATTTTTGAATCAGTTTTAATTTGGAATCTCAATATCCAACCCTGTCCAGAAGTGGATCATATTTGTGTCACTTACTCATCTCTTAATGTCTTCAGGAGAGGGAAGAAAAGATGATGTTGCAGACCCAGATCCAAAGTCTACGTCAAGAAAACCAGCGTCTGCTGCAGGAATCCCAGACGGCCTCAGCTAAGCTCAAAAAGTTCACAGAGTGGGTCTTCAACACTATTGATATGAGCTAATCCAGAGTGGGAAGAAGGAAAAGTCTTTTGGCACCACTGTAATAGAACCAAGGTAGACTCGTTCCAGTATTCCAGTTGAATATGGGCATTGTAGAGCTTATTTCAAACTTTTTTTTTCATCACAGGGTTAAATGTACAGTGTCATTTTTGAGAATCGAGCCACTTTTAATGTTTTTTTTGTTAGATCTTCTTGTATATTTATTGGTTTAGTGTTTTATTTATAAGTAATCCAGACACTCATGGATTCAGAGAAATTCTGCCTTCAGTTTTAGATTTTAACTTGTGTTCAGTGCCAACTGAAAATACGTACAGTATATTGTCTCTTCTGGACACATTTTATAAAGAGAATTTATGGTGTATGGAAGATAAAGGATATCAGCAGCCTTCTCCGTTCTCTGTCAGGGAAATCAGGGGGACAGGAGAAGGGGGCAGGACCAGCATAACCTTTTCTGGGAGAGTGTCATATACTTTGAGTCACAATATGGTCAATATCTATTGGGGTATGCAGTTTGACATTTTAACAAATTTCTAAGTATAATACAGATGAAGAAATCATTTTAGTGACAGAAACTTTTAGATGTTTTGCCTTGAGTATTATACTTGGGTTACTTCAGTAATTATTGGATATTTATTTAGTGGGCTAAAAAGCTGAAAGTTAGCATTCTGTAATTATGTAACAGAAATTCCGTATCCATATGGAGTTTGAATTTCATTTTCAAAAATAAATACAATTTAAATACAGTAATGTGAAGACAGATAACCAATATTTGTAAATCTAAGAAAAGTAAATCTAACAAGTGGGTAGAAATAGGGACAGAAATAGTGCAGCGACAACCACCTAACACGGAGGGGAAGGCAAAGACTGGAGTCACAGCCTCATTAAGTGGCTCGACAGAGAAGGATGAGATGATTACAGATGATGGTGAATATCTGCATTTAGCAAAGACTTAAGCCGCAGGCAGTATTGCACAAATGGGGAGGAAACACAAACATTCACTTTTACCACTCTTCATTTCTTCAAACTAAACTCCGCTGCCAGCATATTAGAAACAAAGGATTCATCAGAATATATTTTTGTTCCTTTTTGAAATGGCTTATTGAGTGTGATGCTTTAAATACATATTTATAGACCATATATCAATGATGATAGTAAATTATTGTGATACCCTAAATTTACTGTTTACGGTGCTGAAAAGCATAATGCTTTTGTTAATGTTGTTGGCAGGTAATGCAGCAAAGCTGTATTTTATCCTGTTTAGTTATAAATGCCATCTTAACCTGACCTGCATAATCTTCAATACTCTGAGAAAAAAAGGACTCCAGACATCATTCAGTAGATATGTTCTATGAAAATAATGTCAGCAAATACAGTCCCTGATGAATATGTTTGAAAACAAGTGGTATAATGCATTTCATAAGGTTTGCTTAACCTCATCTCGCCTTTCCACCATTTTCCTGAGGATTGCAGAAAGATTTGCTTAATAGTTAGCAGATGTCATACATCACTTAAAAAATTACTATCATCATCATTATCATCATCTATATCATTAATTGAATCTGGACCACACAATCGATTGGGTTGGCAAATTTGTTTGTGCTCCCCCCGTTGGGACACAGTGGGCTTTAGCTTTGTGTAGGGGACCCCTTCACTAGACACTCCCAATGCTGAACCAGTCCAAAGGCACACTGGGTCTGTTCTGAGGTCCCTGCTGATCTCCGAACTCCTCATCTATTCCAAGAGAGTGAGCCCAGCAACCCCTTACAGATACATCATTTCAACCACTTGTGTTCACAAAATTTTTCTTCTTTTGGACAGAATAGTTAAGTATAGGTATGTGGTTCGACTGCTCACATCTTCGAATAAAAATCAAATCCTAGGCCATTTCAACTGGAACCTTTTAAAGTCTTGGCCATTTTGTATCACTTACCCATCATGCAACAGAAACTATAACTTTTATGCTAAATTAACATGAGACACAAAAAGCTTGTAAGTTAGACTTCACCAGTAACTTCGTACTAAACTCCACCACAAAACAATGTCATTTTGTTATTTATTGGGATCAAACACAATCAGAATGGGACATAACCTTTATTTATATTTTATTTACAACCTGCAACGTTTACAATTCATTAGAAAATCTCATCAGCAAATCAATCTTTCATTTTCCACAGAATAAAAAAATGATGTAATGTTATTGCATTAAAAAGCACTGGCAAGTTTCACTGCTGGCACTGACAATATTAGACAAAATTACAGTGATCCACTGAATTTTCTGAGGCAGAAATGCAAGCAAAAAGGTATTCATTCATGCATTAAATGTATTTGAGGCACAGAAATAATTCCATCTGCTCAATATTTGTTCTGCTGCATATATCGTTTTACCCTGCCCTTTAACTTCTGTAAGCCCCACCCCAGACAGTTGTGCTCAAACAAAAAGTACCCAGTACCTTGGGGGAACTACAGTTGGACCGAGTTTCTCGCCCGCTGTCGCTTGATGGTATCCTCTCACTCTTGTCATTGTGTCATAATTACATGATCAGTGACTAGTTGACGCCAAGAAAGAAGCGTCATCGCAGAAGAGTAAAATCTACTTGTAGACTAGTCTGTACAGTGCCTAGTGTCTACTGAGTATCCCCAGTGTTGGTCAGAACTTCCCCAGTCCTGATGAATATATCCTGATCCAGATACCTCCTCTTCTTCCTGAACCATCAACTTCCTAGAGAATCTTTGAGGCCACCCAATGGTCTGTCTCAATGGCCACTCCATACTCCTCCAATGTCCAAGCTTTTGCCTCCACAGCTGTCCTCGCTACATCCTTTATTGCCCTGAACTTCTTCAGGTTAACAGTTTAGCTCAGCACCAGAATCTACCACGATAGGCACTGTCTGCATTCTAGCTACAACTCTTTATAGTCAATGCAGCAGCTGAGACCTTGACTATGATCCATTCAGATTAGGACATCTCTGGCCATACTTATATGGGTAGCATTTCCAGCAGTGTAAAATTAATGGAAGCCTCAACCAGATATTCCCAGCAAACTAACTGCGAACATTGGACAGATCTGCCCCTCTTCTCAGCAAAATGTGCAAGACAGCCAACCTCAGTTGATCTTGGCCTCACATGCTTTGTTACCAAGCATACTTATGAGCATCCTATTCTTTGAACTTGATGTTTGTTATAGACAAAACATTGCTTAGTGAGAAGTCACTTGAGTTTAGGTTGAGGAGACCAAATGGAAGGTGGACTAGCTGATACCCTTCACCCTCCAGAGGTAATATTCCACTTTCCCAAAGCCAGTGTCTATTGCCAAGGCCTGGTCTGCATCCTCCTCACTCGTTCTTACCAACCAAAAAGCACCACAGTGACTCCTATCTTTCATTATGTGGATGGTGAGACCTTAGTATGGCTGCACATAGTGAGTTCAGGCTGAGCCCAACTGGGTTCCTTGGTGGCCTGGTCCCAGGCACTTGCTGGTGAGCAGTACCCCTCCTCTAGCTGTGAGTCCCATAAGCCTGTCCCGGCAGAGCTCTCTGGTTTTTCTAGGTACTTTTCCACCACTGTGTGAAATTCATGAGGATCGCAGGGGAACGGATGACCATTCATATTTATTACAAGAAGATGTAAATATATACATTTAATATTTAATGATCTATTTCTGGTAGCTCATATCTTATCTGACATCAAAACATGACCAGTTAACCTGTTGCTTTTACATGTTTAGTTCGTGAAAACTGGTATACAAATAAAAAAAAATAGCACCATTCTGTCAAATGCAACAAAAGAACAACCACAGATTTAAGTACTTTTGTTTACAGACTCTTCATCCTGCTGTAAAATAAAGTTATTTGAGTTATGTTGGGCATGCAGCCTTGCATAATGAAATCAGTATGATCATTTCTTCAAAAAAATTATAAAATAGAACAAGTAACGGATGTCAATATTCTATGGATGGTTAGGTTGGGAAACCTGTCAGTGATGGGTATCATTAGCGAAAACTGTAGAAATTATGCTAATATATTGACATTTTGCACAAATTAATTATGTCAATAATAGCTACAAATAATGTTTGAGTATATTTTAGTTGCAGTGTCATACTGTGCAGTTAATTTGTTTTATACATGAAATATTTCTCCACTACATTGCCTAAAAAAGCTTGTTATTCTTTAGTTTTGATTTACACATAGTTTAGTGGCACTGTGCAATGAACATGCTTCTTAGTTACCAGAATTTTTTGGCATCAGCAAATAGGTTTGCATGTCATTTTGTGGTGGCATTTTAGTGGAATAGCTGCTGTCTAGATAACCACACACCTGGCCATTACACTGCAGTAGCGGATTTGCCTCATTGGCTCTGTGCATGGGAGGTAGCTATTGGTATATGTTTAGTTTCTTAAAGCAACACTGATGCAATAATAAGACATTATTTGAATACAAAATAATGAGGCATTCTCTGAATTTGATGATTTTTAAGTGATTATGTCTGTTTTATCAATAAATTTTGTAAACATAAAGCATAAATCATTCACAGATTAAAATTTTAATAAGATTATTATATGTGAACATAAGAGAACCATTGACAAGTCCTGATTATTGACTTCAATGGATATAAGCTGCCATAGACAAGTTGTGGACTCAGGGTTATCTGCTCAGGTCCATGTATAAAGCTGCTTCCCTGACCTGTGAAGAGCCTGTGAGTGCATGTGTGATTTATCAAGAAGCCGTACAAATCAAGGGAATCATTTTACAAGCACAGCTTTACCAATGGCACCATGTACATTATCATATTCTGAAACTATTTTAGTGGCATGGGTGATGCTTGTGTGAGACTAAAAAATATATACTACATTTGCAACTAAACCTTGTTGCAACATGAAATGGTCTGCAAAAAAAAATCTGCCTTTGAATTCGTTTTTATGTCACGGACAGACATTTTTAATCAACTAATTGTTGTACATTATACTGTACAGTTTTTATTAAAACGGAAGATAAGAAGTTTTTCCTTTGTTATCAGTGATCTATAATTGCAGAATAGACTTATGCCCAAAAAGCCTGGGAATGTCACATTTACACACACTTTATAAAAGTGTTGGCTTAGCAGAAAGGTTTTTCATCCCAGTGGTTTACATAGCTTATAACTTAATGTCTTTAGTGTGTGTAAAGACATACTGTGACGACAATCGTCTTGCTTTACCAAACCATCTCAAGGACTATTTATGTTAAATAATGATAAAATGGTCAATAAGTTGAACACGTTTCTTTTACAAATAATTGTGTGTACAGTAAAATTGGTGTCAAATATTAGTTAATTGAATAGTTAGGAGCTCCCATTTTGACTTAAAGTTCTATTACATATATTTAAATGAT